GCCTGACCTTAGGTAATCCACCCATCTTGGCCCTCTAAAATGCTGGGATTACAGGTGTGAGCTTCCATGCCCAGCCCTTTCATTTTTAAATTTCCTTCAGTAGTTTGTATACATTTCTTCTGTGTTCTTATATTTATTGGGAGGAAACTATTCTTTTATTTTAAAATTTCTGCAGAATCTATCATTATGGTTGTCTCCTAAATGTAAATTTTGTTCCTGTCTTCTAATGTTTTCCTTGAAAATTATCACTAGAGATTTGTCTATTTTATAATTGCTTTCAAAGAGCAACATTTTAACTGTGTTGGTCTCTATTTTATTGTTTTTTCCATTTCATTATTTTCTGCTGCTATCTTTATTTCATTCTACCTTTATTTTTTTTAAATTTTAATTCTATTTATTTCTTAAAATTATTTTATTTAGATTTATGTATGTATGTATGTATGTATGTATGTATTTTGAGATAGAATCTCACTCTGTCACCCAGGCTAGAGTGCAGTGGTACAATCTTGGCTCACTGCAACCTTGACCTCCCGGGTTCAAGTGATTTTTCTGCCGCAGCCTCCCGAGTAGCTAGGACTACAGGCGTGTGCCACCACTCCAGGCTAACTTATTTATTTGTTTTTTTTTTTTAATTTTTTTCTGAGACAGAGTCTTGCTCTGTGCCCAGGCTGGAGTGCAGTGGCATGATCTTGGGCCACCACAACCTCTGCTTCCCCGGTTTAAGCAATTCTCCTGCCTCAGTCTCCTGAGTAGCTGAGATTACAGGCATGTGCTATAACACCTGGCTACTTTGTTTGTATTTTTATTAGATATGGGGTTTCACCATGTTGGCCGGGTTGGTCTCGAACTCCTGACCTCGTGATCAACCTGCCTCGGCCTCCCAAAGTGCTGGGATTACAGGCGTGAGCCACCATGCCTGGCCTATCTATCTATCTATCTATCTATCTATCTATCTTTGAGACAGAGTCTTGCTCTGTCGCCCACACTGGAGTGCAGTGGCACGATCTCAGTTCACTGCAATCTCTGCTTCCCGGGTTCAAGCGATTCTCCTGCCTCAGCCTCCTGAGCAGCTGGGACTGCTGGTGTGTGTCACCACGCCCAACTAATTTTTTACATTTTTAGTATAGATGGGATTTCACCATTTAGTTAGGATGATCTCAGTCTCTTGACCTCTTGATTCACCCACCTTGGCCTCCCAAAGTGCTGGGATTACAGGTTTGAGCCACTGGGCCCGGCCTATTTATTTTTTTTAAGATGGAGTCTCACTCTGTCACCCAAGCTGGAGTGCAGTGGCTCAATCTTGGCTCACTGCAACCTCCACCTCCCAGGTTCAAGTGATCCTCCTGCGTCAGCCTTCTGAGTAGCTGGGATTAGAGGTGCCTGCCACCATACCTGCTAATTTTTGTATTATAGAAGTGATGGGGTTTCATCATGTTGGCCAGGCTGGTCTCAAACTGCTGAGCTGAGGTGATCAGCCTGCCTTGGCCTCCCAGAGTGATGGCATTCCATACGTGAGCCATCACATCCGGCCTGCTTTTCTTTTTCTAACTTCATTCATTGGACATAAATTTCCTCTAAAAGCAGATTTACCTTCATCCTACTAGTTTATGTTATTAATCTATGTCATAAGGATATCTTGAAGAGGGTTCTGTTCTGTTCCAGGTCATTTAAGTCATAATTTATAAATTTTAATAGTAGTGACAAATTATGAAAATAGAAGTTATTTGAAAGTGAATACATTAGTGATATGTAAAAAGAGGCATGTACAGATGATAACTTTGCAAAATAGAAGACAAAGGGGTTCTGTCATTAATTCAAGAACAAGCATTTCAAAGAAGGGCTGATATTCAATATTATCAACTAATTTCAAGGTTAAAGAAAATGTTGAGCAAAAATATCTGATCACTTAAAAGTTATTAACCACAGACTCGCTGGTGAGAGTCTGAAAAGTTGGATAAATATTTGACAGTTTAGTAAAAAGTTAATGACCAGGTGCAATAGGTCATGCCTGTGATCCCAGCAATTTGGGAGGCCGACGAGAGTGGTTCACCTGAGGTCAGGAGTTTGAGACCAGCCTGGCCAACTGTGAAACCCTGTCTCTACTAAAACTACAAAAATTAGCCAGTCGTGGTAGTGTACATCTGTAATCCCACCTATTCGGGAGACAGACAGGAGAATTGCTTGAACCTGGGAGGTGGAGGCTGCAGTGAGCCGAGATTGCACCATTGCACTCCAGCCTGGGTAACAAGAGTGAAACTCTGTCTCAAAAAAAAAAAAAAGTTGCCAAGTGCAGTGGCTCATGCCTGTAATCCCAGCTACTCAGGAGGCTGAGGCAGGAGAATCGCTTGAAACCAGGAGGTCGAGGCTGCACTGAGCCAAGATTGTGCCACTGCACTATAGACTGGGCAACTGAGGGAGACTCTGTCTCAAAAAAAAAAAAAAAAAGTTAAACATACATCTCTATATTCCAGCAATTCCATTCTTAAATATTTGAGAGAAATAAAATCATTTATCTATAAAACACCCTGTACAAGAATGTTGACATAATCTGTTTGCAATAATCAAAATCTGGAAGCAACTTAGATGTCCATCAACAAGAAAAAGGATAAGTTGGGGTCTATTCATACAATGGAATACTACTCAGCAATAAAAAGAATTGTGGCCAAGCATGGTAACCCATGCCTGTAATCCCAGCACTTGGGGAGGCTAAGGCAGGTGGATTACCTGAGGTCAGGAGTTTGAGACCAGCCTGGCCAATATGGTGAAACTCTGCCCCTACTAAAAATATAAAAATTAGCCGGGCATGGTGGCACGAGCCTGTAATCCCAGCTACTCAGGAGGCTGAGGCAGGAGAATCACTTGAACCTGGGAGTTGGAGATTGCAGTGAGCTGAGATCACGGCACTGCACTCCAGTCTGGGCAACAAGAGCAAAAATCCATCTCAAAAAAAAAAAAAGAATTGAAATATGCAACATGTCAACTTCAAATACTTTATGCTGAATTTAAAAAGCCACGAGAGGGCCGGGCGCGGTGGCTCAAGCCTGTAATCACAGCACTTTGGGAGGCCGAGGCGGGTGGATCACGAGGTCGGCAGATCGAGACCATCCTGGTCAACATGGTGAAACCCTGTCTCTACTAAAAAAAAATTACAAAAAATTAGCTGGGCACGGTGGCCCGTGCCTGTAATCCCAGCTACTCGGGAGGCTGAGGCAGGAGAATTGCCTGAACCCAGGAGGCGGTTGCAGTGAGCCGAGATCGCGCCATTGCACTCCAGCCTGGGTAACAGGAGCGAAACTCCGTCTCAAAAAAAAAAAAAAAAAATAGCCAGGAGAATTGCTGGAACCCGGTAGGAGGAGGTTGCAGTGAGCCGAGAGCGCTCCATTGCACCCCAGCCTGGGCAACAGATTAGAAAAATTAAGTTGAGACTTCACTAAAGTTACACAGCTAGTAAATGGAAAAGCTACTCCTGAGATTTTTGACTTCATGTATTAAGATCTTAGGATACTTTAATCACAGTACTTATAATGAATCTTCTAATTGGAGCCATTTTAAGGGGGCGGCCTACCCAGGTAATTGCCTGGAGGTTCAATCCAGAAAGAGCACTAAAACATTTTATCATTGGAAATGTAATAAGGAGAAAAGATATATTTAATAGAATTCTCTGGTAGAAGAGTTCAGCATGTGGCTGGAAGCGTACTTTGATATGTGGCCTTTTGTGGGTGGTAAGATGACTGCACCTCCCTTCTTCCCCACTCCCCTCTAAGGGTATATCACATTACCACATTATAAAGAAGTTGGATTCAAGTAAGTGCAGGGACTTCTTCTTGATGAGGATATATAAATCTAGACCAGAACAAAATGATCACAATAGTGAAGAGAGACATGCCCTTTCTACCCTTTAACACTCAGCCATTCCTTTGAACAGACATTGAATGATTATTAGGGAGTATATAGCATAGAAAAGACGCCAAATTAATAATCTGATCTGGTGAGACAAAGTAGCACCCTATTTCAGAATTCTTTCCGTTGTAAAAAACAAAAAGAAGCTCTCTCTCAAAAAACAAAATCAAAAAACTTGCGGGGTGCGGGGGCAGGGGAATGGAGGGAAGGACTTATGGAAGATCTGAAGTGCAGTACGGATGAAACGAGGGCTCGTGGGAAGAGGCAGTAGGTAGGAAGCTGATTAAACAGTCTTAAAAGTTACATTAAGTGTTTTAAAGTCTTTTTGTGGGTGAGTTCTACCCAATTCTTCAAGGAAATTGAACCCTGGACTCTGTCCGGCGATTTTTCTGACCATCTTGACTCAGCATCTTCCCTCATTGTTTATCAGCACGTTAGGGGGGCCATCAAGCTTCCTTCTGTCTACTTGCTCTGCCTTGGCGTTTCACTTCTTCCTAGAGATCAGATTTCCCTGACTTTTTAGCATGGCCCTCTGAGCGCTGTTATTTCACTTTTCCCCCCTCCCCCGCCCCCCAACTCTCCCAATTCTGCAGTCCGTGACCTTCAGGTGCCCTTCAAAGTCAGGAAAAACTCGGCAAGGTGGGTACTTGTAGGGCATTAGTAATTCAAAGAGGTGTCAAACAACCTCACCATTAGATGGGAACAATAGCTTACTTAACACCCATATTTAGATTGTTCCGCCACAACAACTCTGGGGAACGGTTTTATTTGCGGCGGTTTTCTCCATCCACAGCCACCGAGTGAAGGGCAGCGTAAGAATCTTCCCGAATGCTCCAGTCACGCGTCCCGGCCGCCTCTTCTTCCTCGCCGCCACTTCCCCAGGCCAGGCCCGCGGATAACCCCTTAGTCGCGAGCGAGCTCTAGCCAGTCGGCAGGGACCTAGCCGGGGAGGGAAGGCTAGACGCGGAGCTGAGCGGGGCCAGGCCGCGGGGCTGCAGGCCGGGGGGTGGGGGGGGGCGCCGTTGGGCGCCGTCGCCGAGCGGACGGAAGGCGCGGGCGGAAGGCGGTCGCACTAGTAGGCAGGGGGGCACCGCTGGGGCGGGGCTTCGGCGCGTCGGGGGCGGGGCCCCCGTGCCGGTCACGTGACGGCCCCGGCTGTAGCGGCGGCGGCCGCGGCGTCTTAAGCGGCGCCCAGTGCAGGATGGTGCTGGAGGCTGAGTCGGCCGTGGTGGCGGCGGCGTCGTTGGCGGCAGTGGGAGTGGGTGCGGCGGCAGCGGCGGCGGCGCCCGCGGGTGGTATAAAATGGCGGATTTCGAAGAGTTGAGGGTAAGCGGGGGCGCGGGAGTGGAGAGCGGAGGCCGCGGGGGAGGGGATGGGAGGGGAGGTGGGGAAGCCGCCAAGTCGCCGGCCGCCGCCTGCTCCTGCCTCAGGGGCCGGTTAGCGGAGCCCGGAGTCCCGGCCCGCTGACGAACGGGCTCCTAGCGCGCGGGGGAGGGGAGCGGGCCGGCTGAGGGCGCGCGGGCGGCGCGGGGGCGGCGGGCCTGGGCCGCTGCGAGCCGGCCCCTGAGTGCTGCCGGCGGTCCGCACACCTGGCGCTGGGGGCCGGGGCGCCCTCCGGGAGGGGCACGTGGGGTCCCGACATCCCTGTTCGCGGTGAGGGCCGAGGTGGAAAGCAGCGTTTGATCTCCCACCTTCGCTGGGGTGTACGTGTCTGTGGCGATTCACAAGTCTGCACGCTACTCACTTGGTGAAGGACTGTTTTCTGAAAGGTGAAGTTGCTTTAGGAATCTCTCCTCCTCTTGTGGCTGATGCTACGTTTAGTCAGGTCTGTCACGAGAAAAGGCCCCTTCCTCCCACCCATGCCTCCTAACAGCTTCGAGAGAATCCTGCCTTCTATTATCGGCCTTAAACCTCGATATTTTTTAGTGCTTTAGTAAGAAATCTGTAAAGTCCATGTTGTGAGGTTTGTGCACCCCTTTTACTCTTGAGGAAAAAAATTTTTTTTTCTTAGTAGCCTTGAAACAAGATCATAACTTTATTGTTGATACCTTTGTATAGTAGAGGTTTGGAATAGGGGGTAGAACAGAAGAGACTTTTTTATCCCCAGACTCATAACCTTCAAAGTCTTTGACTAAAAACTAAGTGTGACGAACGAGCCGGGTTTATTTTGTATGTATCACTGAATTACTGGCGACATCAATGAGATGTTTACGGACGGAAACCGTGATTTTTTAAAAAAGGCATTTTAAGGTAGAGACGAGTGTGAACTTGAAATTAAATTTACTGCCATCCGTTTGTGTAACACTTATGGTGTTAGAGTGTCTTAAATAAGGAGGAGGAATCCGATAAAAGGTTCAGTTTGTATGTTTATTATTGTTTTCCTTGAAGGACGGGATGGGGGAAGGATATTGAAGTTACCTGCTTGGTAGACGAGCAAAAGAACGTATGTTCTGCTCTTAACGGAGATTGTTAGAGTTTGCAGAGTGCTTGCCTTATTCCCTCCTGCTGTTTCAAAAATAATTATTTAGTTCCCGGTAAAGACATATACTAGTTTATGCAGAGAACCATGGTCGTAGGTGAAGGGTGTTCATACTTGGTAAGTGTAAGGGTTTCAGTGGCTCAGAGCCCCAGCTGTAGAGCTTTTAACACCTGTGGAGCTTTTGAAACCAGGAGGCCTAAGCTTCACCTTTGTAAATTCCTGCGCTAGATTTAGGATGGGTTGAGAGGATGAATTCTGAAGTTATATTTATTTTTACCTGCAATCTAGTTTTAATTTTTGTGTAGTAACAGATGCATACAAGTTTTCTAAGGTGTTTTTTTTTTTTTTTTTTAATGAAAACTTTCCAGGATTTATATTAGACTCTTGGGAATGTTGTTGATCAAAGCTTAATGTAAAGCGGAGAATTTACTCGCTGTTACAGCAGAAAAAGCAGTCAGTGCTCAGGTTGGAGTGCAACTGGCAAGTGGTAGAAACCAAAGAAGCTCTTTTTCTCATTCTTTCTGCCTTCCCCTCTCTCTGTTTTGTTTTGTGGATCAGCTTCAACATCTCTTCCTGTAAATCAGCTAGCTGTCTTTACTTTTTGCATTTGTTAGAAGATGACCCCTCCCCCACAATTCATATGAAGTGCCCAACAAAGACTAACTGGGGAGAATTTTTAGAGGAGAGAAGGGTACAGGCTGGGCACAAGTAGTAAGCATTATCCACTTTTCTACTTAACTGCTCTGTGCAGATCCATGTTACCCTACACTTGATGAACAAACGGTAATGATGATGATGGTATATACCCATTTTCATAGTGGTTATTCCATGCCTGGTTCTGGTCTAAGCCTTTTTTTCTATACTTATTTAATTCTCACAATTTTTTGAAGAAATTGAAGCACGGAGAGGCTAACCTGACCTAAATTACACAGCTTGAGACTTGAAAAGCTGAGATTTTTAATCTTAGACATGTAGCATTAGAGTCTTTGCTTTTCAAAGCCCAGGCTACACTGCTTTGTTCTGGTACCTTGGGGTCTAGGTGGAACTCCTAGCCATCATCCTGTGATTGATCCTGAATTAACTGATCATCTCCTGTGTGACATTATAATAGAGGAAGAAAAACAGACTAAAAAACTGATTAGAAAGAAAGAAAAGGGGAAGAAATCATCTTGGATTCTCAAAATGTTAGGTAAATTATAGGACCAGGAAAAATTATGGGCATTAGTTTGTTGGCTAACTTCTTGGCAGTAGAGGAAATGGTCAGCCGATCTGGATGCCACATATTTGGCTGCTGATATGCCACAGGGAGAATTTCCATAATGCTTCAGGGCCAGTTATTTTGGACAAGTATAACCAGAGCAGTTCACATCCTGGCTAGTGCTGCATCTAGACTGAAGGTAGGGAATTTTGTGAAAGGTCATCCTCAGTGTGGTTTGGTGACCCTTGTGCCTTTGCTTTTTAGACGTGTGTGTGTAGGGGGTGGTTATTTGATGAAGCAACTCTGTTAAGGGGTTGCCTGACCATTTCGGTTTTGGAGACTGCTATGTGAGCCAGTATAAGAAGAGATCTTGTTTGATATAGCAGAATATGGCAGCTCTGTACTTTGTTGCCTTTCAGTCCAGGTGACCAGAATACCAGCCCACCTCTCTTGCAGTTCTTCTGGGAGAGAGAATCTGATTGACTGAGTTTAGGTCAGTCTCTACTTCTGTTCTAATCATCTATAGCCAGGGGCTTAGAGTCACATCACACAAACCTCATCAGCAGATTATCCTGATGGGTTGAAGGAAAGGAAGTGGGGATGTTCTCTGAAAAGGGAAAATGTGGCCTGTGTACGCAAGGATGATTACAATAACGTGTTATATATTAGAATCTTTCAAAGTGCCAGATAAGAAATTACTCAATTTGCCAGTTGCTTATTATTATTATTTGAGATGAGCTGCCCAGGCTCTGTTGCCCAGGCTGGAGTGCAGTGATGCCATCTCAGATCACTGCAAACTCTGCCTTGCGGGTTCAAGTGACTCTCCTGTTTCAGCCTCCCGAGTAGCTGGGGTTACGGACACCTGCCACCATGCAGGCTAATTTTTTGTGTTTTTAGTAGAGGGGGGGTTTCACCATGTTGGCCAGGCTGATCTCAAACTACTGACCTTGTGATCTGCCCACCTCAGCCTCCCAAAGTGCTGGGATTACAGCCACGAGCCACCACCCCAGGCCGCCAGTTGCTTATTTATAGCATCTATGTTGTTAGGAGTTGAAAGAGTGATTAGTTTGTGAATGAACAGATTTTGAATTAATTAGTTGTGAATTAATTAATGGGGACAAGATCATAAGATTCGAAGGCTGGAACTTCTGTCACTGCAGCTTTGCTCCTTCAAAATTGGTCTGGAGGGCAGGGCGTGGTAGCTCACACCTGTAATTCCAGCACTTTGAGAGACAGGAGGATCGCTTGAGGCCAGAAGTTCTGGGTAACATTAGCTCTGATTCTGACACTGCACTCCAGCCTGAGCCACAGAGGGAGATCCTGTAGGAGTTGATTTTCTGGCATTACTTACTTCTTCTTTAACCAGAGGAGCTTTTTCTTTACCCTTGTATTTCTATGTTTCCAATACTGTGACCTACTGGTGGCAGTCCTTCACAAAAAGGTCCCTGCTGCACTTTAACCTGGTTAATCTACTTTCCCTGCTTCTCATAACTCAATAGAGAGGAGGGAGATCAATTGTAGTGACTTTTTTTTTAAAAGATCTCCCTTCTGTATTCTTCATCCCCTTCTTTTTATGCATTGAAAATTTGCTCTGCATGTGTCTCAGAATGAGAGTGAATGTGCATGCAAGAAGTTGTGCATTTGTCCTAGTGAGAGAGCCAGTGATGACAACGTAATAGATAGTAGGTAAACCAGAACGTTTACCAAACTGGATAAATCTGTTATATCATAATTTGAAGGTCAGATTTGGGTCTTTCATGCTGAGAAGCTTAAGTAATTCTGTAACAGAAAGTCTTCTGTCTGGCAGGCTTCAGTGTTTGGTTCCCTTACACCTCCCAGGAGTCACCATCCTGATAACTTAAAGTGCTGTTAGGATGCAGAGGGAGAATGGGAAGTTAATGAGGGATTTGAGGTTGGAGGTCCTCTCTCTATTTATTGGGCAGGGAAAAAGACTAATAGATACGATGGAATCCTCCATATGATTCAAAGCTATTATGGGACAGCAACTGAAATTTCCAAGACTTCACCTGAGATCATGTCTGTGAAAGCACATTCAAAACAAAATATATTTAAAGTGAAGTAGGCTGGACGCAGTGGCTCAAGCCTGTAATTCTAGCATTTTAGGAGGCTGAGGCGGGCAGATCACCTGATGTCATGTTTTTTATTCTTTCAATTCCATTTCTCATGGTTTTTCTTTTTGTTTAAGTCTCACTGTGTCCCCCAGGCCAGGGTGCAGTGGCATGATCCCGGCTCACTGCAACCTCCGCCTCCCATGCTCAAGCAATTCTCCTGCCTCAGCCTCCTGAGTAGCTGAGATTACCGATGCCGACCACCATGCCTAGCTAATTTTTGTATTTTTTGTAGAGATGGGGTTTCACCATGTTGGCCAGGCTGGTCTAGAACTCCTGACTTTGTGATCCACCCACTTTGGCCTCCCAGAGTGCTGGGCTTACAGGCGGGAGCCACCTCGCCTGGCCTCCACTTCTCATGCTTTTAAAATGAAAGCAATATTTGTGCAGGCAGTACTGAAAAAATTCCAAATAGTGAAAGTCTTCTTTTTTCCATTAAGTCCTACTCCCATTACAACTGCTTTTAACCTTTTTTGTTTGTTTTTAGGGTTTTATTGTTGTTAATTCCAAAAGTCTAAAA